GGGTGATTTTGGGCTTAGGGGTGTGTTCGGATTGTGTTTTGGAGGTCCGCAGCTAATTTAGGCTTGAAATACCAAAAGTTGAATTTTTAAAGTCTCCGGTTGGATAGCAAGATTTTGATCCGAGGGTCGGAATGAAATTCTGGAAGTTGGAATAGCTCCGTAGTGTTGAATGTGACGTGTGTGCAAAATTTTAGGTCATTCGGACGAGGTTTGATAGAATTTTTTATCGAAAGCGTATTTTTAGAGTTTTTGAAATTTTTAGGCTTGAATCCGATGAGAAATAGGTATTTTGATGTTGTTTTGTGCGTTCTGAAGGTTGGAACAAGTTCGCATGAGGTTATAGGATATGTTGGTATGTTTGGTTGAGGTCCCGGGGGACTCGGGTGAGTTTCGGGTGGTTAACTAGACCATTTCTTGATGTTTGAAGTTGCAGAAAAACTGCTGGTGTGTTGCAGACCACTTGTTCTTCGCTTTTGCGACTGGCCATCGCGTTCGCGAAGGGATAGGACGTGGAGCTGAAGGTTTGTCCTTCGCGTTCACGAGGGAGGTCCCACGTTCGCGAAGGGCTGGGGTCTTGATCTATGCGTTCGAGAGATGGGGGGTCGCGTTCGCGATTGGCTGGGAGCAGAGCCTTCGCATTCGCGAAGAAGGGGACGCGTTCGCGAAGAAGGAAAAATGGTCAATGTAAATTTGTGCTTCGTGAACGCGGAGGTTTGACCGCGTTCGCGAAGAAGGAAACACCTGGGCAGATTTTTATAACCCAAAATCGAGGGTTTGAGCCATAATTCATATTTTGGACTTGGGAGCTCGGGAGATTGCGATTTTTGAAGAGATTTTCACCTGGGCGATTTGGGAAAGTGAATCCTACTCGGTTTAGACTAATTCCCATGAATCTACACTTAAATTCATCCTTTAATTTTGAAATTTTACTGGAAATTAGGGAAAAGTTCTTAGACCAAGAAATTGAGTTTTGATTGGGGATTTGACATCAGATTGGGATAATTTTGATATAGTTAGACTCGTAAGAGTGTGAGAATTCTGAAACTATAAATTTTACCTGATTCCAAGACGTGGGCCCAAGGGGCGTTTTGGTTATTTTACCTAATTTCGTGTATTAGCTTAGAATTTGATTGTAGAATTAGTTACTTGAAGTGTTGTTTACATTATGAAATTAAACTGAATAGATTTGGGCCATTTGGAGTTGTGTACTCGTGGCAAGAGCGTGGTTTCGGATTGATTTTTGAGCCGATTCGAGGTAAGTGGCTTGTCTAACCTTGTGTGGAGGACTTTCCCCTTAGGATATGATATATTTGATAATTGAAATGCCTTGTACGTGAGGTGACGAGCGTGTACTTGAGCTAATTGTTGAAAATCCGGGTTTTCCTTAAGTATTTCAATTGAGTTCTTTTTCCTGTTTTATTCTACTTGCGAATTTAGCTTGTTGCTAGTTTAGAAAAGCATGTTTAGTTGACTTAATTGCCTATTTGCTTAAACTGCCTTAATTGCATTACGTGAAGCATGTTAGGCTAGAATTAACTGTTTACTTGGTACGAAATTTAGCTTAATTGGGTATTCTTATATTGATGTTGTGTGTGTTTTTACTTTGGGACTAAGGGACAGCATCCCAGGAGATCTCATGTACATATTTATGATCTGAACTGAGGTGCGGGATACCAAGAGATCCATGTCACGTATATTGAGGATACCAAGAGATCCTCGGGATACCGAGAGATCCCTAGCATATATTGAGGATACCAAGAGATCCTCGGGATACCAAGAGATCCCGGTTATCATCCTTGTTATGAGTGGTACTTCCTTGTGGTTTGCTTTCATCTCTGTTTCTGTTATTATACTCTTATTATCCTATATAGATTCCTACTGTAGATTCTCAATTATACTGTTTATCTTATCCTGTCATCTTTATATTTATTTAATCTCAGTAGAGTCGTGACCTTCCTCTTTACTACCCAACCGAGGTTAGACTTGGCACTTACTGAGTACCGCTGTGGTGTACTCATGCCTCTTCTGCGCATGTTTTTCATGTAGTATTTAGCTCTTCTATATTTTTCTGTTCTTATTAGACATTCCGGAGTTAGAGCTATGTAGTATTGATCTTAGCTTGTGATTCATGGGTTTTCGGGTCTTGGATTTATGTATTGGTATTGAGAGTTAAACATGGTGTAAGCCGAGCGGCACATTTAAACACTGTTACTACTTTATTTCTATTAAAAATTATTTTACTTCCGCAAATTTTGGTTTTCTTACGCAAATTAGGTTTACCTAGTCGTAGAGACTAGGTGCCATCACGATGGTTCACAGATGGCGAACCGGGGTCGTGACATAACTATTTCTTCAGGCAGGAGTCTTGGTTTTAGTCCATATTGTACATATTTTTCCTTAAATGCATTTGATTTAGCACTTCTATTATTTCCTTGAATTACATCAACAACTCTTCTAACTAAAGTGATCTCATCTCTAAATAATTCAAGGTCACGCTTCATAATTAAATTATAAATATGACATGCACATCTAACATGAAATATTTCAGGAAGTGGTGGCGTAGATGAAATTTAAGGTTGTAACAGTAACATTGTTGTTAGAAGCATTATCAAATGACATACCCAAATTTTTTTTTGCAAGATTATAAAATATAGCAACTTCATGGATAGTATTACTTATAAATGCACTAATATGACTTTGATCTTCATCATATTTAAAAGCAATAATACATTTTTGTATACAAAAATTATCATCTATCTAATGACATGTAACAGTCAAATAATCATTTTTATTTACAGCACGACTAATATCAGAAGTAAGTGAAACTCTACAAGAAAGACTGACGAACAAATAACGGATATAGGTATGATATTGTCCAAAAAGCCAAAAGATATCAGCTCTACAAGTACTTCTAGGAATACCTTTAAACAAACGGTTATAAATTCTTTGAATATACGTAACAAGATATGGTAAAGCAGCAAAACTAAAAGGTAAACAACCTAAAACAATCATTTTTTACTATATCGTATTTACTCATTAAACCGCTAGTACCGGGGTTAAGTTTTTGTTGCCCACCTTCCTCATCAGCACCCCATGCAATAGGGGTGCTGATGATTCCTCATTAGTGGTTATCTACCATGTACCTACGAAGTTGACCCGTTCCTCCTCCCTTACCTCCGGTCTCATGTTTATAAACTTCCTTACAAATTTGACATCTTACATCATTTTTATCTTCTTCTAGTCTTTCAAGAAAATTCCAACACTTACTTCTTAATCTTCGATTCCTCTTAATGGGGAGGGGAGGCCTACCTGTATGACCACGACCTCGACCCCTAGTATTTTGAGTTTGACTAGCATTACCAGGTTTAGCTGGTAGTGTTTCAAGATTGTCAGGTTATTGAATATCATCTAAATTACCATCTATACCATAATTATCAGGTGAACTTTCATAAATATGTATAAAGCTACTAGAAGAACCAGCACTACCTCTTGATTTTTTAGATGTTTTACTTTTACTACTACCACCCCTACTAGTACACGTTTTTTTGGCTGCTCTAAAAATATACACCAAAGAAGAGAAAGAGATGGAACGAGTGTATCGGGATTCCGGATGCCGCACTAAATTTGATATCAAACTTCAGTTGATAGACTGATACTTGATATTTGATGATATTGAATATTGATACCACACTTTACTTGAATACTTGATATTTGATAATTATAAATTTGTAGTGACTAAAGTAAATATTTGATGAAACTTGAAATAATAAGTAATTGAGAATTTAAGAGCAATAATCAATATTATCAAGAGAGAACTAGAATAGTAAGAGAGTAAATTGTGAGGAAAAATGAAGAAGAAGGGAGGCTATTTATAGTTTTTAAAAGGTTAAAATTGTAATTTATCAATTATTAGGGGTGTGGAGCTATTTTCTTAAGGGGGTAGGCCGAAATGGCCATTTTTGCAAAAAATAACCGTTGCTCAATGGTCTTTGTTGAATTTGACCGTTGGCAATGGTCCAGAAATTAAAAAATAATAATTTTTGCAACGGTAACCGGGCTGGATCAAGCTGTAGCCTAGTATAAACTCGGTAACGGGTAACCGGGCTTACTGGGTTCCGGGACACCAGTTACCAAATTTTGTTCGTTCAAGCCCGGCTCCCCGCCCAACCCTCCCCAACCCGTCTCCACCCCCTATAGTACTGGGCTGAATCGGGTTGGACCGAGCTGTGAACGAGCCAGCCCGGCTTAACAGGCTTAATTAATATTAATATTGTTTTGAACTTTATTTGACTTACTACCTTTATGGGCTATAAATTTATTGGACTATTCAAGAATATTAAGTCCCACTTTAAATAATACGTTAATGGATAAAACTGTGAATAAGTTTAAGAAATATTTATAAATTATATTACACGAAATATTTATATGTATAAAATATTTTTTTAAATTGTGTAAATTTAATGTCGGGTTGGTTTAGTTTCGGTTTGACTTTTTTTAGTTAAATACCAAATCAAACCAATTATGGTCGTTTTTTTTTTCTCAAAATCAAATCAAACCACAATCCGATTTTTTTTTTCCGATTTGACTCGGATTATTAATTTAGTCTGATTTATCGTTTTTCTTTGTACGTCCCTAGCTCCCACTAAAGTAAGCAACTAAAATTTATTAAGAATATATAACACAACTAAACAAGTTTAACATAAGTAATCGGGCAATCAACTGACTAGTTCGTATAATTAGTTTCACAAATTTTAAGCGTTTATTTTGTTCGAAACCGAAATGCACCAAAAAAAACCACAAGTAGTAGATGAAGTTGACGTAAATAATTTATCTCGAAAACTTTCTCCTTCCCAATAAACTTCTGAATTTCTTACTCTGTGGTAAAATTCGAATTAATTCTTCAAAGAAAAAAAATCAGCAGAAAACAAAATGATTTTTCTGAAATTGGGCCTGTGGACTTGCACAAGCCCAAGTATCGTCTGGTCTACTGAGCCTCCAGATTCCCTTCGTCTGCAAAATATACTCATCTCCTTCAGTTCTCTGTAATCACCTCACCCAACTCTTTCTTCAGGCAAAGCTTTGTAGTAAGTTTCCCTAAACCCCCATTTCCATTTATTTTTTTAATCCTAATCTACGAATTTTAATTGGGTTTCTTTCTCAGTTTTTACAAGTTCATTTTTGCACTATTACTTGCTTCTCATGTGATAAAAAATCTGTGATTGTGATTCCTCTTAATATTAGTAATAATAGGTAATTTTGGAGGAAAAAAAAGAAAGTGCTTAACATGTTATAGGGAGATTTTTGAAACAGAACCATATAATTTTTGCATCAGAAAGAGCTCACGGTTCATCATAGGAGCAGAATATCTTGAAGTTCAGTTTGCTCACCGTTGCTGGAAGGACTGCTATTGCTCATTAAGTGATAAATTCAGGCGATCTTATGAATAAATGAGTTAGCTCAAGCTTATTATTTCAGTTTCTACCCTGTATAGATTTCTTTTTCATGGTGTCCGAACCAGCTTTGCGCGCACCTTTGACTATTTCACCGGAAACCTACTACCTCCCCCAGCACAGGTACAACCCACAGGGTAATTCTGCACACCAAGGCTTAGGCAGATGGGAAGAAGTCATGTAATCTGTTTTGCCTCTGCTAGGATTTGAATTTGGACCTATATGGATTTAGTGTATTGTTCAATTTATTTTGTGGATTTTGTGCCTTTTTCTGGACTTTGCTGTCTTTCTAAGTAGGTCAGTTTTGTCCTTTCAGTACCTGGAGATGTATTGCGGCGTATCTTCCATTCTATGCACCACCTACTGCATATTTGAAGTAAGCTGATCCCTTAGAATCAGCTGCTTTTACCTATTGAAAAAATTCAAAAGCCTCGTGAGAATTATATGTTCCTTGTTTGAATGAAGAACTTTCCGGTTACTGTACTTTCTCTTATCGCCAATAAGAAGGCACACATATCTGCACCCGAGGGTGTGGCTACGGGTCAATGAAGCGGGAAGAGAACCATGAAGTTTCAGGTTCAAATCCAGTGGAAGCAGAATAACATTAGGTTATATCTTCCCATCTGCCCAAGCCTTGGTGGGTAGAGTTGCCAGGTATTTGGGCTAGTGGGAGGAGCAGGTACTTGGTGGAATTGAGGTGCGCGTAAGCTAGCCCGGACTCCATCCTCATAAAAATAAAAAATAAAAATGAAGGCACACATATCTCCTTTGTATGAGCAATAAGATATCCGAACATAGGATAATGCCAAAAAAATGGTTTTGGTCAAAATTGATGGGATTGCTGGAAGTTTTGTGTTAGGAATTTCATAATGACAGATGGTAAATATTGTAACAGTCTAACACAATTCTTTTACATGAGCTCTTGAGTAAGACGCTGTATGATCTGGAATAAAAGGGTCAGTCATCCTAAGATTAAGATTCATTTCTTGTTTCAAGTATTTACTTGTAGCATACCATCTTTCAACAGATTGACATAATTCTTCTATGTGTATATTTCCATAATGATGGTATTTTTCCAAAATCAAAGCTTGTTTGGCATAGCCATCTCCTGGAAGGTGTTGATAAAAGTTGATCAATTCCTTATGAAATGGATGTAGCAGTAGCTTGTTAGAACCACAAAGCTTTGTTTGATCTAAGACATGTTTTTTTCTTTTCTTTTTTGGGTGTCCAAGGCTACTTTTTAGACTAATTTGGGTAGGCTGAATAGTGTTGCCCTCTGATTGAATAGGAGAAGACTCCACTAGAGAGAAGCTTGTGGAACCATGCAAGAACCTATGGCGGAGTGTGCCCCTAGTGGATGCTCACAATTCAACTTTATCAGCTGCATTAAGAATGCAAATCTTTCACTCATTTGAGATGAAATTTTTACTTATTATTGTCTGTCTGATTCTGTTTTCTTTCTTTTATCTATATGGACTCTAAATATTTATCTAATTTTCTTGTCCCAGTTGTCTTTCTGGTCGTGTTTCATTTTCAATTTTTGTGTAAAGTGAAGGCTTTATTTGGCCTAGAAATTATGAGTAATAAGCTGAAGAAGGTGCAATGTTAGCTCTTTTCCTGCATTATGAGCTATGTAAATGAGTGAGAAGTCTTTTTATGAGTATTATGTGGTCTAATGCGTGCCCTGCTTTTCAAAGACGTCATTTTCTGTGTGAAAGTGTAGGTAACTATGTCATTTTGTGTAATGTATTCAGCTGCAAAGCAACAGAGTAATGCTGTTCTATTAATTGGGGTGTAATATCTTCTTACAGATGCCATTGGTTGTGTTTTGATTACGGGGTAGCTTCCAATTTCAAGGAAGATGTCACTTTCTAGGCTTTCTGGAAGAGTGAATCTTTTCCTTTCTTCAAACAGGACTTGTCGTTATCCACTTTCCACATCCAGGTGATTAATGGGCTATTTCGTTTTTCACTCAATTGTTCTTTTTTCTGTAATGGTGTATATGGATGTTATATTTGTGTAGCAATGAGTTCAAAAATGTTGGTTGAGTGTGTCCCATGTTGCTTAATGTGTTCTTTTATTCAGGGACTATCTTGAAATTGTAGTGTCAAAAGATAGAAACTTTGGGGCAATTGACATCAGACATGGACAACTCTTTGGCCTTCGATATCGAGGTTTCACATCAAGGTGTGAACTTAACAAATCTACACTTCATAACTGTGAAAGGCTGTCCTTCTTGAGAGGGCAGAGTACAGTAAGGTCTTGGCCAATGTTGAATCTTCGTCATCATTATGCAACTCAAGCTACTGCAACAGAGAAGAAATCAAAAAAGATGCTCTTTTACTTGACGGGCTTAGTTTTTGCTATGGTGGGGGCTAGTTATGCTGCAGTTCCTCTGTACAGGAGATTCTGCCAAGCCACGGGATATGGAGGTACAGTTCAACGTCGGGAGGTAAGTTATTTTTCATTGATCTGGTTGTAGGTAGGATGTCGGAGTCCTCTTAAAGTGATGAAAATTACCACCTGACAGAGTGTCGAAGAAAAGATTGCACGGCATGCAAAAGATGGAAGAGCTACGTCCAGGTATTTTCATATGTTGCTTGATTGATGATCCTTGTTATTGTAATTTGCAACTATTTTTGGTTGAAAACGTTTGAAAGTTTTCTCCTCCATAGTTCTTTATGGCAACATGCCTAATAGATGATGAATATAGAAAAACACTGGTGTTTCTTGAAGAAAATGCTACATAGAACCTGTAAAATTGTCGGATAACAGTTCCATAGCTGTTTGCCATCTTTTCATGTATTCCAACTTTCAACTAGAAAAGTGCAGTCTATTCATTCTAGGCTCTGTGGTTTCTTAAAGTTGAAACACCAGATCGGTGCAGTGTCTTTTTCTCTTTTGCATCTCATGCACACAGTTGTGCGACCAATATCCTTATAGAAGTAATCGAGTTCCTAATCTCTATTTATCTTTTCCTTTGTGGTCAAATTTTCACTCTTATGGGCAATGGCATTTCCAATGTGGTATATTTTTAAAGGAAGATTCTTTTTTGTTGTTCTATATCACATTTTGTATCTAACTCTTGTATATGGCACTAGGGAGATTGCTGTACAGTTCAATGCTGATGTAGCAGATGGAATGCCTTGGAAGTTTATTCCAACACAGCGAGAGGTGCCTTTTATGTTATAGGCATGTGTTACGTTCATAAATAGTTAGTCAACGTACTTATGGTTTAGCATGCTTCCTATGTTCCACTTGATGTCCTTCTCCTTGCCCTATGATGCAGGTAAGAGTAAAACCAGGAGAGAGCGCTCTTGCCTTTTACACTGCTGAAAATCGAAGCTCGACTCCTATTACAGGCGTATCTACATACAACGTAACCCCAATGAAGGTATATCTTTATATAATAGATGTCAACGTATTTTTCCCACCCCCTCCTTGTTCTCTACCATCCAATGCAAACTTGAGGCAGACTATGTGAACGTGAAGATAGAACTCCTTAGTCCCTTCGCCTATTATTGTAATTCATTGTTCTTCTCTTTGAAACGTCTCAAAACTTTGGATACTTGTCATAGTGATAGTTTTCTATTAGACTAGTCTTCTAGTTCCGAGTCTACTCTCAAAAGAACATATTATAAGACATAACGAACTTTTTGTCTAAAAAAAAAGTATTGAGCTATAATGTCGTAGTTTGAGAGTGAACGTTCATTGATGTACACCCTCCGTTCAAAAGCATTTACCAACATGAGGGTTTCAACCATACCATAATTAACATACCCCCCC